AATCACTCATTATTGACGCCTGCAATGATGGCAAGCAGGCGATAAACTGCCCGGCGGAAGAGTTCATGCAATCAAGTGCAATCCAGGATATGGCAAAGGTACTTGATGAACATGGTAAGTGAAGTAGAACCTTCTGACGCAGTTCACATATGTAAGTGAAGCCTAAAGGGTCAGGCCACGATAAACCACTGCTTAATTTTGAAAAACGGGAAGGATGGCCGTGAAAGGCCCAATTATAGTGTTCTTCAGGTGTGGTCACAGTGAATATTCTATGCTCAAGAGATAGTATAGCAAATGAAGAACACCTCCTTTCGAAGTACAAAGAGCATTTTACATCGTGTTTCCTTCTTCGATACAGCAGCGGACAACGGGTGGGTTTCCGCATTGAATATTTCACGGAAAGGCTGAACTAATTGGCGGAGGGAAGTGTACGTAATGAGAAAGGGTTTGCCCACTTTTATTCTCTGCACTCTCTGCGGCTGAAACTGTCAAGTGATGGGATCGCTGTGTCGGTAGGAGAACGAAGACGAGCAGGAAAGAGTGTGGCTCAACCATGCGACGCTCTCCTCCCTAGCTTCTTCGGCCCCTACATGCAACATTCTCAGTCAGTGTGCTTAAATTCCTGCTTATCTCTCTCTGACTTTAGCTGCTCGTCTGTACACAGAGAGAGGGATGGAGCTTCACGCTGCAAAAGGAGCGCTTCATGCAGAACTTCCGAGAAATCGACAATCGTTTCAATTTTGGACTGAGCGACCTCATCTTTAGAGAGAATTAAATTTGCTATTGTTGAATTGTTCATAATGATTAAGCAGCGATTTGCCGCACGTGGACCGCTGTTGAAAATTTCCATCTGTGAAACTCGTTACTTGATTTGAATGTACTGCAGGCTGCGGGTTTCCCAGCCCTGTTGAACTATTACTACCCTAAAATTCGAAAAACGTTTCTGGTGAAACTTTGCTCACAAGGTCGATGTTCCGACCACGAGTATGGCCTTCGTTCCTGACGCTTGTGCCATTTGATGCCATGGCTGTGAGCACACAAGCTGGGTTTACTCGACACCCTGATGAGGAAGACACTTTCATTTTCAGCCCTGGCGTATTTTCTTCATGAGCCATTGATAAAAACTTGCATATTGTTTTTTAAACTCCTTATCAAGGCTTCTGCTAAGGCTGAGCCTGGGAGTAGCAGTAATCCCTTCCAGAATGGACCCGGCCTTAGTAGAGCGCAGATGATCGTAGATCTCCATTGAATCCTGCGTTAAGGGTCAATGTCACATTCGTGATAAGGATGTCAAATAACCCTGAACACAAATTCTTAGCGGATTTGTTGTAGATATTGGCGCGCGGAGAGGAGATTTTAGGACAAGCTGATGCGATATTCGTGGTCAGGAGTGCCTCTAGGGACAGTTTTCCGCCAAATGTGTCCCCATAGAAAAAGGTTTGTAAAAAAGTGAACTGTTTCCGGAAGATTGGGGATGTAGCAGTGGAATGGTACTGATTGTTTCGATCATATGCTCATCAATGATTGTATGTGTATGATTACTTGTTAGAAAGTGTTTGCTATTTGTGGAAGTGCTAGTTGTCAATCTGAATCATACTGAATCCACTCCTTTCAAACTGATATGATTATCTTTGTTCTATTAGGTAACGGAATAGACCTTCAAATCATTTTCCTTCCACACTGCATCAAAAATTCCTGTGAATCTTGAGATGAAGTTTGCCCACTTATACACTCCTTATCCCTGAGTGAGCCAGAGTAGGCGTGGCATTTGAACATGGCACGGAATTGGTTACTCGTGGAATATTCCAGTCTGGGACAACTGTCATCTTGTTCTGTGTTGGACAGAGACACGACAACAATTGTGTCAAGATGAAAATATCTCACCAGAAGCATAGACACCTTCAGGTTGAAACATGCGGCCACGCCTACCCGATCTCAGGGATTTCGAGTATACATATTTGATGTCGTCGCAATTAATCTTTGCATTTATCGTCCGTATCACCTGAGCTCTAGATCAGTGAAGTGCTCAAGCGGGTGCCAGTAATTCCTTCCTGCAACGCTAGAATTACCCAGTCGTTTGTCTGTTCTCGAAGGACACGATCAGTATTACTTCGCGGTAGAGGCGAAAGGACTGGATATTATTGCAACTGGAACAAATTTTGAAAGTTGTGAAGGGAGTGATCTCTGTTCTTAAGCAGTGGTTTTGACCGGATAAATGCCGGAAATCCTATCTGAACTGCAACCAAATAGAATGACCAATATGAATGCACCAGAACAACAAAAGTGGATTAACAATCAACAACAACAGTGGAAGAACAGTAGAAAAACGGTGAATAAAATGACTAGAGTACAATAAGAGTGTTCGAGTCATAGTATTAGTGGATCTATCATAGATAGCCGGGCGCATAAGGCTGAAAAAGCAGACATTTGTAGCAGGTGCATAAAAAGTCATTACGGCATTTGCATTCG